TGTTGCCCACTCGGGTGCCCAGCTTGCTAGTGAGGTTGTGCAGCACCAGATGCGGGTAGGCCTCCGACATGGTGCCCACTTCGGGAATGTCGTGCCGCATGACGGTGTTCAGCAGCTGAAAGTAGGCGGTAGGGCCAAAAGGGAGGTGGCAGATCACCAGGCCATCTGGTTCGCCTCGGGTCTCGTGGAGGACGACAAAGTCGGTGACGGCGTTGGCGCGGCAGCTCTCCACCAGCTGCTTCAGCTGGTAGTTGCCGCGGTTGATGCGCTGCGAGTTGGGGATGACCAGTTTGAATTCCTGGCGAATTTCGAAATAGAAGCGCGTTAGAGTTTTGTGTGTAAACAATGTGNGGTGGTCACCACCACCTTCGGATCCTCGACGCCCGCCCACCGGTACTCGTCGTCCTGGTGGGAGGTGACCTGCTCCGAGGCGAGGTCGTCCCAGTCCAGGGTGTGCTGCAGGTCGAGGGCTACCTTCCGCAGGTTGCTGGGAATTTGCTTGCGTTCTTAAGGAGGGGAATAGAAAATGCGTTATTGAAAAGTGATCAGAATTAAAATCCTTATAAAGCTCCACTGTACCATCTAGAGCCTTCTTCAGCGTCTGCTTCTTCTCGGTGATTATCCTCTTCTGCTCTTCGTGAGACTTTCGCACCAGGTACTCGCGCCGAAGCCGTTGCTGTCGTCGAAGCTAAAGTGAAGTAAAGTGAGTTCATAAGGTAATTTTTAGTTGAGAAGATAACAAAAAGAAGATAATAGTTACCATCTTGGAGGAGGAGAAAATCTAATAATGGTAAAAACTTGTACAAATCCAAAGTCCAAACAAAAAAAGCTTCAAAGCTTCAAAACAAACCAAACACGTGCTCTCTCTCTCTCTCCCTTGAATATTCACATTTTGCCGGCACTAAAAAACTGCAAAATTCTGCCGCAGCTAAAAAGTGGCGTCCCCTGGTAGACAACTTTTAAACTAAAATTCATTTTCGCCATGTTTCACACAAACAAACGACTCACATTGGCTCACATTCA